GCCATATTTTTGTATGTATGTATGTATGTATGTATGTATGTATGTATATATATATATATATATATATATATATATATATATATATATATATATATATATATATATATATATATATATATATATATATATTAGGGGTGTTCAAAAAAAAAAATTTTTATACGCGAACACACAATAAGCCAAATATGGAGCAAACATTAAAAAAAATTCAAAAATATGGACATTTACCTTGTGCTCAAGCGGCAAAATACCCCGAAAAATGCCCCAAATAGTTCCCAAGTAATTTGGCTTTGAGCACTAGGTAAATCTCAATATTTTGTAATTTTTTTTTTAATATTGTGCTCATAATGGTTCAAACTTTTTTTTAGTTTGTTGTGTATACTGGTTTTTTCATAATTGTTGTTTAAATAAAAAAAAGATTTAACGCACTTTCTTATATTTAACGCAAAAAAATACACAAAAAAAAAGTTTTAACGCGCATTTAACAAAATAATGCATAATAATTCTGCATTTATATGACTTATATATAATCACATTGTTCAACGTCTCAAAAAGAAATTTAATTTAATTTTAATTAATCTTTTGAGAATAAAATAAAAGTTGATTGAATGATACAAACTTTAATTTTTTGTAACTTGTTTCAATTTATTTTCTGTATTTTGGAGCGTATGTTAAGTAATCCATCTGTGATTCTTTTCTTGCTTAATACTTGCTTATTTATTTTATTGGTTGATAACGATTCGCTGTCTGATGCCTTGAGAATTGAACCAACTTTGTCTACAGTAATAAGTCTATTTTGTTTTTCTTCCTCATCTCTGTAGTGGTGAACAAATTGTTGCATCATTCCAATAGCCCTCTCGGCATGGTCATTTACACAAACAATACTTTTTGCAAATTTTAGAAATAATCTAAACGATGATTGCGTGTGCTAATACTGAGGTGGCAAGGTCAGCCAGTCCTCAATTCGCTGTTCATCTATTCCAACCATCTCAAACATTAACCAGGAAAATTCGTCAACCAAAGGAGCTAAGCTAGGAGGCTGCTGATGAATGTCTAGTTCAAGTGTTAACATTTTTTTTATGTCTTTGTTCTGTTTATTTTTCGTTTTAAAATAGCATGGCACTGGTTTTGGATATGATAATATTGCAACAGCAATTTTTTTCTTCTCTTCAAGTGTAACGTCATCATCCAGCAAAGCTAAAGGAATCAGAGTTGAATCTAGATACCATGTATGTTTGAATAAAAAATTCAACACAGCATTTACGGCATCTGGTTGTGCACATACTGTTTTATATTGATGCATTTGATGAATGGCAGTAACATCCATGTAAGGAGCTTTGATTGTATCATTTGATTGCAGATACCATTTTGCATAAAAGCAAGCTATAAATTCTGTTATTATTTTAATATGTTCTTTACTTTTTAGAAGAAAATCAATCTGATTTGAAAGAATTTGCATTTTTAAATAGTATATAGATTCCCCTAAAAATCTCGCATGGTGAATAGCTCCAGTCTTTTTAATTTTAATGTTAGAAGCAGAGAGATAGCTGACCACTAGCTCTGCTAGCTCTTTTCTATTTTTCCTTGCAATATCATTTCTTGATAAGTAAAACCTACAATAATCAAGAGATTCTATTGCAGCTTTTTCAACAACAGTTCCTTTAACTTCATCCCAAGAAAATTTAATAGCAAAGATGGTTTATACTCGAAATTAGGCTGCTCAAACATGTTTTTGAATTGTTTAAACAGAAGATTATCAGGCGCCGTAGTTTTTCCATTTGTTACAGCTTCACAGAAGTGTATGATTCTCAACTCAGAAACATGATGTCTGCAAGCTAAGAGAATTAGATACTTATTTAGCGCAGTAGATATTCTTACTAGAGATCCTTTATGTATACCTGTATTGCTTGATATTGTATCAAACAAAGTAATCCAATCTTTGATTGTACTCTTTTAGTAGTTTTCATCACTCCATTGTACTGATCTTCCCCAGATGAAGAGGCTACTGGCGTAACACCAAGAAGATGTGACTCCTTATCGATGGTTGCCAAAACAGCTAGTCTGTCATTCTTAAGTTTTTTTCCATTATTGGTTTCGAAAAGTGTTTTTCCATCAAAATAAACAAAGCATGGGTAGGGAGACGCTTGGATGCTAAGTATGACATCTTCTTTAGCAATAGATGCCATTTCTTGAGCTGTTTGTTTCATCTTTCTAGATGCTGTCGAACTGCTGCAACTTACATTTGTAAGATCAACGCTACAACTATCAAGGATTGCAGCCGTAACTTTTGTCAAAACATTGGGAGAAATATCAGTAACTGTAGCTATTAGGGCAACATTACCAGAAAAGAATATTTTTTGGAATCTCAGCTTTTATTCTGCTATTAGACTCTGAAGAACGCCAATATCTAGGGTCATAATCTGAATCAAACGATGAATCTTCGCTCGGGTCTCGTGTTGGACTAAATTCCAACTCTGAATTCCTTACTTCCAGTAATTTTGCAGCATCTTTTTTAGATGAATTTATTTTTCTTGTATTCTCTAAAATTTAAACAACATGCACGATTATTAATATTATTGTTATTATTATTATTATTGTTATTATTATTATTTGATATTACTCTTTTTAAATTTCTTTATCAAAATTTTGTAAAATTAAAAAAGATAATAATGTAAAAAGTATTAAAGCAAAAATAAAGCTCAATAATGAAAAAGTAGCATACAGTATAGTATTTTTTGCTCAACTTGTTCAGCTTTTGAATCAAACTGTTATCTGATTGAAGAGGAAATCCAGCTTTAAGCCACGAACCTTTTATTTGGCTAAGAATACACTTACAATGTCGTTCAACATATCTTTCATATTTCCTGTTTTTTTTTACTGAACAAGCAATTATTAAAGATTTTTTTGATGTTTTAGGAAGCATAGACTGATTAAAAGCTATGTGCTGTAAAATATCCAATCCTGTTGGTAGTTGATCAACTAAAAAAAAAACTAAAAAATTCAGTTAGGTTGTTCCTTTGCTTTTTAAAATGTTTATTATTTAAGAAAAATTAGCAATAGAAAAAATGCAGTGAAGCAAAACAAAGCAAACAAAAGTAAATTTTAAATAGCACTAAAGTGTTTTCACGCTTTTGACATTAAGTAAAAGTTTATTTCTTTTGTTAAATGCGCGTTAAAACTTTTTTTTTTTGCGTATTTTTTTGCAAAATCTTTTTTTAATTTAAACAATAATTATGAAAAAAACAGGACACAAAAAAAATTTACAAAATATTGAGATTTACCTAGCGCTTAAAGCCAAATTACTTGGCAACTATTTGGGTCATTTTTCGGGGTATTTTGCCGCTTGAGCGCAAGGTAAATGTCAATATTTTTGAATTTTTTTTTTTTTCAATCGTATTTTTTTTATGTTTGCCCCAAATTTGGCTTATTGTGTAATCGCGTTTTGAAAAGTTTTTTTTTTTTTGAACACCCCTAATTGTCTGGCACATAGAATTAAGATAGAGCATTAAAAATGCATACTTTTGCTAATTTTTATGTATAGAACAGGTTTTTAAACCGTGACCAAAAAATTTTTTTTTGGCATTCCCTAATATATATATAAATTTATATATATATATATATATATATATATATATATATATGTATGTATATGTATGTATGTATGTATGTGTATATATGTATATATGTATATATGTATATATGTATATATGTATATATGTATATATATATATATATATATATATATATATATATATATATATATATATATATATATATATATATATATATATATATATATATATATATATAATTTAAATGAAAAAATACAATTTTTTATGGAACTATTAGTTTCATGCCATTCGGCAATCATTCAGCCATATTATTTAAAATTTACAAAATAAAAAACCGTTAAAAAACACAATTTTTAAGCGTTGCAACGGTATCTGACGTCAAGTTTACGTCTGACGATATCATGAGTTCCTAATCTCCGGTATCGAATTGTAAAAGCAGAAATTTTTTTCTATGCCTGCAAGAAGAAACCAACTCACTTTTTTTTATTAAATAATGATCCTTGACTATAAGTCAAAATTAAATATTTTTCATACAGACAAAGATTACATCTTTCAGTTGATGGATTATATGATTGACACTTTTTAATAATGTTCCACTTGATTAATGGCATAATATCTGCATTTTTATGTTTCCATATTTCTTTAGAAAGTTTAGTATCGTTTTCGTATCTAGTAGCGTTAAATGATTTTAAATGGTTTGCAAACCTAAGCTTGAATAAGCCTTCACTGATACCAATATATGATTTTTTGGAATTACTAAGGTTAGCTAAAGATATAGTGGCTTTATATATGACATTTTTAGATAAGCATTGATTATTTAAAGGGCATGAAGTTTTTTTAATACAGTTGCAGTTGGGGACACTAGCAGTGGGTTTGTTGCGCCATATTTTTGGTTGTGTGAATTAATAATTGATCCAACATTCGGCATGCAGCTGTAACTAATTTTGATTGTATTTCTGTTAAATATCTTGTGGAACTTATGATGAAGGGGAAAATGCAAGTCAATTAACTTAAGAAAAAGGTTTCCTATTTTGGTGACAACGTTTTTGCTATTCGGAGGATTAAACCATATGATGCTTCTCTTTCGCTTATTACTATTATTTGAGCTTACATATGAATGGTATTGTATGTTGTTTATAAATCCAGAGTTTTCTAATGCATCTTTATAAATAGGGGCAGTATTTTTAAAAATTGTTTCGCTGGAAGAACTGGTTGATAACCTACGCTCAATTGAGGTTGGTAACTGTTTTAAAATATTAGGTGGATGGTTGAAACTAGCGTGGATGTAATTTAACGTACTATCAGGTTTGTGGTATGGTTGGACACTACTGTTGTTAAGGTTCAATGTTACATCTAGGTAGTTAACAATTTTCATATTAGATTGGATAGAAATACTAAGGCTGTTTTGCTTAAATATTTGCGTGAAATGTTTCTTAATTTTCTCCATTTTAGAACCGCTTGCATTTTTGAACACAGCTAAACCATCATTTCTATACAACCCCAAATCATGCTTGCTATAAAATTGGGAAATTTGGAAAAGAAGGAAAATTCCAACAAGTTCACAAACCTCCGCACCATCAAATGCAGCCATGGTTACATCAAACAAACCACTCGATATATTTATACAAACTTGGTCGTTGGTAAATAATAATGATTTTCGCGCGTGAAGAATTAAAAATTTATGGTCAGTAGCGATGGTAACATATTGCTCTGCAAAGTGGAGTCGATAAGGAGTTTTTCGTTAATTGAAGGATAAAAGTCAGCAATGTCAAAAATAAAGAATTTATAAATGTGTTTATCTTTAATATTTTTGAACCAATTAATTACGTTTTGTGTTATTCCACTGATTAAGTTGCAAAATATTTCTTAGATTGGTAATAATATCAGATAAAATATGCTTACTAACTCTTCCGATTTCGTTCTTAGCTAGGGGTGGTAGATTAATCGGTATTTTACATTAATCGATTAACGATTAAATTTCCAAAAATTAATCGATTAATTTTCGATTAATTTTAGGAAAAATGTGTTTATAACTTAACAAAAAGTAATTTATATTTTTTATGATTTTATTTCTCTTTTCATCAAATATGATCTTAAAAAACATCATTTAAGCTAGTTCTTAAATTAGTGACAAATAAACGAGCTGCACTAAAACTTCTTTCTGCTTCTATAGAAGACGGGGGAAGACTTAGCATGGAATTTTAAATCTCTTTTAAAGAACTTGGCCTGTTTCCAGTGCTTTCGTGTACTGCAATTTCAAGTTTAATGCAAGTCAAAACTTCTTGAGGGGAAGACTTACAAGTTAGCCCTTAAGTTTTTCCTGCTGCTGAAATTGTATTAGATATTATTTCTGCTAATTCTTCAGCTTTAGTTTTTTTTTTCTTAATGGTTCTGTATTACAAGTAGACTCTACTCAGACTCATATGCTTCTTCCTCGTGTAGAAATAAACGTAGGTATATTTCTCTAGCAGTTTTAGCAATTTTATTTTTATGTGGGTATTTCAAATGATTATCTGGAAATTCTGAGTCCGATTTATAGTCAGCTGGGTTATGTAAAAAGCACAGTAAACCAGCAATATTACAATTTCTTCTTTCGGCAATTCTCTCCGAGACAACAGTAAATAAATTTTGACCTATGTTAGTATTTTGTTCTTTAAGATTTTGTAGTAAAAACAAAATAATTTTATCAGATTTTATCAGATCGCGGTCTTTTTTCCCTAGTTCCATAACACTTAACTCTACAACATGAAGAGCCTGAACAATATCAGTGTTTTATTTCTTCTTCTTTTAAAATTAAATCTGTTCTAGATATATCAACAAGAGCCTTTGCAATAACATTTTTTAACTTTAAAAATCGTTTTAACATATTTATTAGAGGATTCCATCTTGTTTTAGTATCCAAAATAGGCTTAAGTTCTTTTCCTAAATCTGTTCTACAAATATTTTGAAGGGAATCGTTTTTAAGTGGAGATTTTCTGAAAAGTTTGACTATTTTACGAACCATCGATATGATGATGCCATAGTCCTCATTAAGCTGGATTTCCTGTGAAACAGAGCTAATACTTTCCTCATTCCAGCATTCTTCAGTGTCGTTTTCATCATCAGGGTCGGACTCAGATGTTTCATTTTCATTCTCATCACAAATTATTTCTTCTTGAGTTGTTTCTATTTCTAAGCATTTTTTCTTATAAAGAATATCACATACAGCAAGATGAATTCCATGGCAGTAGCAAAGCTGGTGTGTAACTCCCATTTCTCGTCCCATTTTTTTCATTACTGATGCACCGTCAGTAACACATCCAAAAATATCATTGATCAAATTCAAGCTAAATTCATTTAATTTATCAATAACAATATTAACAGCTCTTTCAGAAGGCAACGAACCATTTATTCTAACATATTCATTCCAAGACCATAGTGACATTTGTCTGAACAATGTACATTAAGACATAAATACCTTCTAGTTTTACCAGAAGTCCACTCATCAACAGAAATTGAAAACCTTTCTCCTTTTAATTTTTTTTTGCTGAAGCTCTTGAACAACTTTTAACTTCATTGAGTTTGCGTAGTTCATAACAATTGTTTTTATAGAATGTCGATCATCAGGGATTTTAAGTCCTTGAGCATTCCAGCCATTTTTAATATCTTTGCTATTGCCAAAGTTGTAAAAGGGATACGATCAACAGCAGTCAAACGAGCTAACACATCTTCAGCTTTGCTACCTATATTATTACAATAGGCAGCAATACTTGACTGTATATTATTAGACTTTTCTGAAAGAAATTTTGTCAAAAAAAATTTATGTTTGTGCTTTAAATGATACAAGAAACTTTGAGTTGATGAAAGAATTTAAGTTCGACTGAACAATGTTTGCACTTGTATGTTGATTTGTCTTTATTTTCCAATAAAAAATGTTTCCAAACTTCAGAGTGGTTTTTTCCTAACGACGTTGTAAATGGTTGTCAAGCAGCCGCAATATGAAAAAGCATTGTTTTTGTTTGTTTTTAAATATATTTTACCGGATGCCGGATAAAAGTCAACACAAGTCTTTTTCGTTAAAAAAACGCTTGTAAATGTTCGTAAAAATCTTTGGAACAAAAAAACGCAAAGTTGTTATATTAAAAAAAAATTAATCGTTAATCGTTTACCACCCCTATTCTTAGCGGGATTTATAAGGCAAACCGTAGGGTTATCTAAAAAGTTTGATTTATGGTCTTTCAATGTAATAAAGCAATCAAAAGATCCATTTATATTGATTTTGTTATATGTATCGTGATTCTTCAAAATAACCTTTCCTTCTTTATTAATACGGTCTTTTATCATGGGGTCGGCTTTTTTATAATTGGAAGTAGTAGCATTCATTAACAATTTATTATATTCTTCTTTTGATAATTTGTATAAATTTGAGATTTTATCAGCATAAGTGTAAGTATGCATTGATTTTCGAACAGAAGAAATGTCTTTTTTTAATCGTATTTTGAAAGCTGCATTGGACCATTCTAAACTGTATGTTTTTAATTAATTTGAACAAATCGCTTTCAAACCCAGTCATACCTTTTGTTGTGGACAATGTGGAGTTTATTTAAATTCATTTAAAGATTAGATTCATTTAAATTATATAAATATAATTCGATCTATTTTACAAAGAAGTATTGATCACTCTTAAGCAGACAAGAGCTGTATTTTTAACGAAATATATATATATATATATATATATATATATATATTTGTTTGTTTGTTTGTTTGTTTAGCATTTTGACTATATAATGAAAGTTCTTCTTCCGGAGACCATTACTATGTTCTATGCTAAAGTCGCAAACATTTCAATTGAAGAGGTAAATAAAAAGTTTTTAAAAAATATAAATAAGTTTATTATTGATTACATCAATTTTTTGCATTTTGTATTCTTTTTATATATATATTTGAATTTTTTTTTACTTTATTATACCTATTTTTATCAAATTATTTAATTTCATTAATTTTTAATCGTCTATTTGCAAAGTTGAAAGTCTCCGGAAGAAGAACTTTCATTATATTGTCGCTACAAAGCAAAACTATCATAAGTCCATTTTTGGAAAAATTAACTTTTTTAGTTTTAAATACTCCTTAGGTGCACTAAAGTCTCACAAAGTACGAAACCAAAATTGGTTCAACTTTGGCAACTATGAGTAAAATTCAAATATCTTATGTCCTAAAAAATATAATTAAGAGATGTCGTTGCTGCAAAACAAAACTATGCTAAGTCCATTTTTTGGCAAAAAAAAACTTTTTGGTTTAAAATACTAAATATATATAATAAATGAAAACAAGTAGACTTAATCGGAAAAATCAAATGCAGTGATTAAATTTAAAACTTTAAATGTCTTTTTCTCAAAAAATCCAAAACTTAAAATGCTATTGTTTTGCAGCAACAATTTTGTCATATTTTATATAGTTGTAATTTTGTCATATTTTATATAGTTGTAAGAATATCTTAAGTCCATTTGCGTTGTTGCTTCTCATAAACTGAAATTTTTTATTTGTTATATTAAGAAAAATAATAACTTTTTCTATAAGTATTTTTAAAACAATTTGGTTTAATTAAGAAGATCAAACGCAGTGATGAATTTAAAAAACTTTAAATGCCTTTTTCTCAAAACAGCAAAAATGGACTTAAGATAAGGTCTTGCATAATAATAAGATAAGGTTTTGCAGCGACAATATAGTCAAAATGCGAAATATATATATATACATATATATATATATATATATATATATATATATATATATATATATATATATATATTATATATATATATATATATATATATATATATATATATATATATATATATATATATATATATATATATATATATAAAATAAGAAATAACTCTAATCCAAAAAACTCCATATAATTTTTTCTTTTGACTTTTAGGCAAGAAATATGATCAATAGTGTATAGAAGAATTTTACAGAATATCATCGATAGTGTGTAGAAGAATTTCTCTTATTTTTGTGCTTATTTCCCTTTTAAATTTTTTTGACTTTAATTTTTAAGATTTTTTTTTTATTATTTATCAAAAATATTTGTAAAATTTTTCAGGTGAATCTGGCTTATAAAAAGTACTGAGAAAGTTTGGTGAAAAAATGAGTTTGAATTTTTTGCTTTGAAAAAAACTTTATTTTAATACTTATTTTTTCATTTAGCATCCAACAACAATTTAACATTTAGCATCCAACAACAATTTAACATTTAGCATCCAACAACAATTTAATAATTCTACATCCTTTCAGTAAGGTGGGAAAAAAACAGGATGGTTTTCAGTAATTTCTAAACAAAATTAATTATTTATTTCTAAAGAGCATCCTAAAAAAATTCTTTGATCACATTCCGCTATCATCTTCTCGTATTTGAGCACTGCTTATTAGCTTATAAATTTTGATTTCCCCTTTTTTTCTAGGAAAGTTTTTTTTTTTTTAAATTAGATCAAACTGATTGTTTTTTTTTTTTTTTTTTTTTTTTGTGGATATAAGGATTTTTTTTGTGGATAGAAGGATTTTTTTTGTGGATATAAGAATTTTTTTTGTGGATATAAGGAACTCATTAATTGTTCAATGGTCTTGAGGCACTCAATACTTTTTGAAAAAAATATTTTTATTCAAAAATTTTAAAATCCATTGATATTTTATTATATAAAACATGCTTAGCCCAATAGGCATTGATCATACAGCAGACGTCCACCGGACCTTTTCGGAAGCCCAATGTCCACCGGTAGATAAATGCTAGAGTATTTTTAGAAATTGCTTTTGAACCACCCTGCTGGTTTTTTGAACCACCCTACATAAAATATAAATTTTAATAAAACAGAAATCTAAAACCATATCAAGAATTGTCAAAAAAAAAAAACATTTTGTTTTTCATTTTGATCACGGAAAAACTTCTATTAAAATAGAAAAAATAAAACCATTCAAAATGTCTATTTGTTGCAAATGTAAGTAAAAGTAAGAAGTTCGTGTGTAACTTAGCTTCAAATAAAGACATAATACAAATTTGTTGTACAACAAACGTTATGCTAATCTCTGGGAGCATTGCCTTGTAACTTTTAAAGTATGTTGTTAATATAATTATTATTAAGTCATAAATATTTTTAACTAAATTTTTTAAATTTTTAAACTAAATTTTTTAAAATTTTAAACTAAATTTTTTAAAATTTTAAACTAAATTTTTTTTTTTTAATTTCTTTTCTATTATTAATTTAAAATGTTGTTATTGTGTGGTCACATTTCTTATTGTGCGGTCACATTTCTTATTAAATTAGTTTTTGATACTAATTAATAGAATAAAATAATTTGTATAATTACGCCAAATGAGTTTTTGAATTGGTTGAAGTTTTTGTTAAAACAACTAGCATCCGTATGCACGTCTCTCTGTTAAACCCTGCGTTAAGCTAACGGCTGGCAGTTTTAACAGCAGAGTTAAAATAAATTCGTATTCTCGTGTCCTCCGTTCAGTTAAAATAAAGTTGACGAAAGATAGTTAATGGTAAAATCTAACTCTGCTATACCCTACAGTTAAAACCGAAAACAGAGAGATTTTCTAAAATATTAAAAATAGTATCTAAACAAAATAATATGTTGAGTTTTTCTTACCAATAACAGCTGAATAAACTGTTTATTATTTGTTTTAGTCTAAATAAGTTATTATGTACTATCCCAGCTAGCACACATACGTTGATAGAACGTTAGAACAATGTTTTATGTTGCGTTGGCCCAACATCGACCGCCAACGTTGTTTTTATATCATTTTGGTTACAAATGCGACGTCGCCAACAATCAAAAAACAACGATGGTCGGCATTAAATAATCTTTTACGTTGATTTAACATTGTATTTTACGTTGGTAAAACGTTGTATTTTAAATTGATTCAACTTTATATTTTACGTTTGTACAACTTTATATTTACCTTTTATATAAAGTTTACAGTTATATAAAGTTTAAAGTTACAAAATTTACGTTTGTACAACTTTATATTTACCTTTTATATACATTTTTGAATTAATTTGTTTCATGTTAAGCATATACATATAAACATAAAATTTTATATATATATATATATGTATGTAGGTATGTATATGTATATACATACATATATACATACATAAATAAATATATGTACATATATTAATATATAATATATATTATATAAGTATATTATGTATGTATGTATATGTAAGTATATATATTTTTATGTATTTATATATATGCATGTGTATATGTATGTATATATACATGTATGTATATTTATGTGTGTATATATGTATCCACGTTTTTATGTATAAAAGTATATGTATGTATTATTTGATTCACATAGTCTCACAATTCAAGGATGTCCACTAATACGATATTATCAACATATAAAAATAGTCGATATACTATATATGTTAATAAAATGTTTATATACAGTTGTGAGCATGAAAATAGCAGTACCTGGAATATTTTGAAAACTATTGCGCAATTTTTTTTTACTTATTACTGAAAAAAATTTATTGCATTTATTTTGACACTTCAATCTAATAAAACAAAAAAAAATTACATCAATAATAGTTTTACATTTTATTTCAGAAAAAAAAACAATAATATCAAGAAAGCTCGCAGTCATTGAAATAGCAGTGGTATCTGAAAATAGAGAAAAAATTATTTTTTATGGTATTAAACATTAAAATTGCAAACTTTTGAACATTATAAAGTTAAAAATAAGTCTAATATAACAATATTTACCCTTAGTATTTCGTTGCAAAACCTTTGTTTGAGATAACGGCTTCACAACGCCGATGCATTGAGTCAACTAGGCATTGACATTTTTCTGCTGGTATTGCGTACCATCCTTGTTGAGTAGCTTCCCATAACTGCTGAGCATTAGTTGGATTAGCAGTAGAAACTGCTTTTTTAACGTCTCCCCATAAGTTTTCAATGGGGTTTAGGTCAGGTGACTGAGCAGGCCACTCCATAACCTCAACCCCATTGACCTGAAACCACTCTTTTGCCTTGTGACTAGTGTGTTTTGGGTCGTTGTCTTGTTGAAAGACATATTTTAACGGCATATCTTCATTAGCATAAGGCAGCATGACATTATTGAGGATATCGACATATATATGTTGGTCCATAATACCATTAATCTTATAAATAGGTCCGACACCATTATATGAGAAACAGCCCCATACCATGACTTTGGCTCCACCATGTTTTACAGACTTAATGGTATATTTTTGCTGGAATTCTGTATCAGATGGACGTCTTAAATATTGTCTTGAACCTGTACCTCCATAAAGAACTATTTTTGACTCATCAGTCCATAATACGTTGCACCACTTTTCAATGGGCTAATTCAGATGTTGGTTTGCGAACTGCAAACGTTTAGCGGTATGTTTTTTTGTCAACAAAGGGACCTTTCGTGGACTGTGTGCATACAAACTTTTCTCTCGTAAGCGTCTACGAACTGTTGTTTCACTCACCTGTAGGTCAAGATCATCTTTGACTTGCTTGGCCGATGAAAATGGTTTGCTTTTAACAAATATAACAATTCTTCGGTCTTCTTGCGCGGTAGTCTTACGTTTTCCCCCTCGTTTTTCAACTTTTGCTATATAATTTATGGCATTTGAAATCATCTTTGCTGAACATCCAAGAATATTTTGCATATATGAGTAAGATTTACCCTCTCTATAGTGTTTCAAAATAATGTTGCGTTCTGCTGGTGTACAATGATGTCCTCGGCCCACTTTGAAAGGTTTAGAAAACAATTTTACCATTACGCATACTCAAATAAATAAAGAATATGTTATAATTGAAGTAGTACTTACTTTTTCAACGAAAAATACTAAAATCTCTTCAAGTTTTGTTAACTAACTTTAAAATTAATACAACCACTGCTATTTTAATGCATTTTGTCAATTACAATATTTTTATTAAAAATAAAGATATTCTACAATGTAATGAATTCTCATATGCTCAATTTATTTATCTCATTCTAGTACATACACACATAAAAAATTAGCCCTTCTGTATTAACAGAAGGAGAGTAATATTGAAAAAACGAATAGTATTTTGGTACTGCTATTTTCATGCTCACAGCTGTATATATATATGTATATATATATATATGTATATATGTATATATATATATATATATATATATATATATATATATATATATATATATATATATATATATATATATATATATATATATATATATATATATATATATATATATATAACATTTAATACCTAAATTATAAGTGATTTAGGTATAAAATGGGAGTTAAACATCAAAGTAAAACATTAAAGTTTTGGAATTTGATGCGAAACCATGTAAATCGGTGTTGGAACATTAAATGATATGGAACATTTAATGGTAATGAAACAGAAAAGAAATTTATAAGCACAAAAGAAACAGTTTAAAATGTTTGGTTATGATTTGTTATTGTTTTTGAAAAAAAGTATAATTTGTTAACGGTAACTAATTCGAATATCTCAAATGCGAAACAATATCTCAAAAGCAAAACAATATGGAGATCAATTAACCATAACTAAGAATAATTTTAGCAATCATTTGACAGAAAAAAACTGAAAACTTTTTATTAAACAACTTTTATCTTTTTAAATTTACATTTATTAAATAAATATATTTACAGAGCATTTTTTTTTAATTTGCGATGATTTTCTGAAATATATACACACTTATTATTTGTTTTCATTTTTTAATCTTTAAGTTTAATAAAAAATTAATTAATCAGTATTGTAAGAACATAAAAATTGGGAAAGAAAACGAATTAGAGACAAATTGACATAAAATTGGAAAAATGAATTTTATTTATTCTTAAGCAAAAGAAAATTAAAAAAAAAAAATTTATTAGATATATTCTATATATTTGTTGCTTATAAGTTGTTTTTGTTGCTAATAAATTGCATTTGTTGCTAATAAATTGCATTTTTGTTGCTAATAAATTGTTTTGGTTGCTAATAAATTGCATTTGTTGCTAATAAATTGGGAACATTTAAACTTTAATAATAATATAAACACAATTTACAACACTTTTTTTAAAACATTTTATAAAGTCTATGATACAAATTTTTCTATGTGTGAAACAGTTGTAAAAGCAAAAGACATATCATGTTCCTGGATTACAAA